TCAGTTTTGTGACTGATGAGACATTTGCAACTTCGTCTGACACCCGCAGAAAAATGTACTCGTGAATTCATCTGGATCTTCTCAGTTCATGTTTGGTTTGAGGACAGTTTTCACCTCTTGATTAACAACCAAAGCGCCTCACCAGTGCCTCTCCATACAGCCATCGAATCAAACGCACCTCACGTTAGATGAACTGCAGGCAGGCAGGACTCATTCCAACTCTCAGATTCATCTGGTTCTCAGGACATCAACAACTACTTTCAACATCTGCTGATTATTGATCATTTGGATTATGAAATGCATGAAAATGTGGATAAATGTAAACATCTGAAACTCAGCATGAAGCCGTCAGATGTCTGGTTTTGTTTGACCCACAGTCCAGAACACACGAACATTCATCTGATCAGGTTGAAGCTACATCACTAGAGCCATAACTTCTGTTAAGTCAACTCCTGCCTATTTACACTTCTCTGGAACTTTAGCAGGCTGAACAGAGACTTTTGGAAATGCTGCTGACCCTGTTTTAGCTGGAAAACATTGGTGTTGTGTTTTAGTCTGGACGGGCCAAAACTAGGACTTTTGGAAACAATGACGTGAGATCCATGTTGGTTTCCTTTGTCTTATCAGTACAACACGCTGTTCCCTGATTCTTCAGGCTCCCAACATGCACAGATTCATTCTCAAATGTCTGATTTTGGCGCTGTTTCAGAAATCCCCTCAGTCTGTACCAACACGTCTGAAGACAGGTAACCCACGGCACACAGGATCTGCACACACAGCCTCAGTTTCCTCCTGTTCATGTGAGGAGCAACAACTCTGAGAAACGCAGAATTTAACAGCACAACAGCCGCCAGCAAAGACAACACATGAAATTCTTTGTCGTGTTGAATTTATCACTGGTCATTGAGAGTCGTGTGTTTGCTTTTGAACAGAAAACAGTCATGTGACGGAGAATCAGGAAACTACAGCAGTGACGGTTGAGACCACTCCGAGATCAAGTCGACGCTTCCTTCAGTCGGGGCTAAAACACGACCTCGGGGTTTTTAAACTGTAACGGCTTCAGCAGTGGTTCAGACTAAAACTAAAACTCCAGAGCGGTGTGGACGCAGGGAGGAAACTCTGCAGGAGTTCTGTCGCCTCAGAAACACCAAAAGAAAAAGTCTAAAAATGACTCAAGTACGGAAATTTTTGAAGATTCATTTTTTCTCATTCAATTATTTGCGCAGCGACACATTAGTTGTACCTCAGCTCTGTTATAAACGCATTATCGTCATCTATCTGTTCAACTTCTTAACTTTATTCCAGAACGATGCTCTGGATTTTTACCTGCTCCTGAGACAAACAAACACTCTGTTAATTAATCACTCATTTAAGAGGAAGATAACCGAAGACTGTAGAATCCTGAAAACACACCGAGGTTCAGAGACGAGCTGATAACGAACGAGATGAAATAAAACACCAGAAATCAACAAGTCTCAGCGTTAACATAAAGCTACAACAGTTCATCAAATGACTATCCTGTTCATGAATTCATTGTGTTAGCAGTTTTTTAGTGTCAAAACATTTAGCTCGACAATTTTCTCTTGATTTAAATTAGATATAAACTAAATATTTTGTGTTTTTTGACCGTAGACTGGACAAAACAAAACGTTGTGGCAGCTGCTATTGTTTTCATTGTCGATTACCTTCGAGATTAACTAGTTTGTGGTTTAGTTTTTAAAATGTCAGAAAACTGTGAAATCAGTCAATCAGCGTTTCTCAAAGCCAAAGCTGAAGCTATTATCAGTTTACTGTCACGGGAGAGGAAAGAAACCAGCAAATGTCCACATTTAGGAAACAACAATCCAACAATATTTACTTTCATTGATAAACTCATTACCAGAATAGTTCGTCAATAACTTCCCAGTTAACTAATTATTTAATTGATGAAGCTCCAGAAGACATGTGAAGACGTTTCCTGGGACTTTGGGAAAATGTGAGACAAACATATGTTTGTATTGTTTACAGACCAAAACATGAATCCACTAAATAATCCGTGATGATAAAGATAAATATTCGTGGTATTTCTGACTTGTGGTAACTTGATTAATCTAAAGGTCACGTCAATCACTGGTTGAAGATCCGTTTTATTAAATAACTGATCAATTGTTTTGTGCTTGACATTTCCAGATGTCCTGTTTTGTTCAAAGACATTCACTGTATGGTCACAAGGGACACACAGGAGCATCTCATCCTCACTCCAGCCGGATGAAAACACGAATACTCAACAATAATTAAATGAGTTGAAGTTTGTGCTGATGAATCACAGCAGCTCTGAACCTGTCATGAGTCTGTCAGGAGTCACAGAAAAACTAATGACACAGAGCTTAAAGTCCACACGTTCAAAATGGTAACGTGAACATCTCGGTGGTGATGAAGCTCGTGTTGGACGACAGAAAGCTCCAGAACCGCTCTGGTCCACACGGAGCTGCCTCTGGTTCTCCTGCCTGATCAGGCTGAACAACAGCGAGACAGAAAGAGGCTCACAGATGGACCAGAGGCAGTAAATCAGAGCCTTCTGGAGGTTATTTTTCCATCTTCTCCGGCCTCCCTGAACAAACCTCCTTTGTTTGTGACTTTAAACTTACACAATGTCAGAAAGTCGGCCAGAGGCAGCCCGAGAGAGCAAACTGGGAAATTGCATGGTTCAGCCACAACTGACAAAGCTAGCTGTGTGACCCCGAGTTTCATCATCTGACCGGGGCGTAAGGAGCCTAATTATTTCATCAGACACAAATCAACATAAGAGGATCTAGCGGGGCCGTGTTGCTGGCGGCGTTAAGCCTCGCAGCTCGCTGTCCAGCCGGTTCACGGGCTTTAACGGTCGAGTTACACTCAGCTCCTGAGCGCTAGCAAGCCTCCTGTGAGGGAAGCTAACTGGTTAGCAACTGCGATGTTGTCAGGTCACTAAAACAAACCGCAACTGCTGCTAAATATCACAAACACACAACCAGAAACCCCACGAGCTTAAATAAAGTTACGTGTTGGTTTGCTGTCCAGCGTAAAATAAAACTACAGGCACCGAAACCCGGAGAGCAGCTAGCGTTAGCCGGTTAGCTGCCGTTAGCACCACGCTAACTAATTTAGCTGAAATAACATTTTTTTTATCAAACCGCAGCTCCGACATGTTCTAACCCTGAACACTGAATGTCCAAACAGCCGCAACAGCACTTTGCGTCATTTAAATGTCCCGTTAGCGGCATATTTATGAGCTAAATGTAACCGCGGCCTCGGACTCCTAACGCGAACCGCGGGGCTCAAGTTCCGGGAGAGCCGAGAGGCCGCGACGCAACCGCGGACGCGCACCACGGGCGACCCCGGCTCGGCTGCGGCACTCACCGTCTTTTCTTTTCGGCAGAGAGACTCTCGGCAGGCGGCTGAATACTGGTGTTCTGGGTCCGAGCGAAGGGCGAAGAGCCGTCTGTAACGCCGATGTCGGGGGTTAAATCAAGGCGTTCCCATTTCTTCGGAGCGGGCGTAAGGAGGTCAGGGTGGACGGCGGGCCGTTAAACACTGGAGCCCGGACTGAAATGGAGAGCCGAGCCGAGCCAGGCTGCCGCGTTCACGGACAGCTCCGAGCTCGGAACAAAATGGCCGCGTCCAAAAGCTGTAGGTTGTAATTTCGACAATAAACCTTTAATCTCTGTACACAGTCACACACATGTATTTAAATCCCACATAACAGTCACATGGACTCTCTGTACAGTATCGACATTCAAAGCTGTAAAATATTTTTATCTTCAGTTATCTATCGGCAAACAATACCTGTAGGAGCCAGAAAAATCGAGCTGCCGTGAAGTGACTTAACGTGTATGAGTTTTATTTCTCAGAGCTCCCGTCTGTGTTTGTGCATATAAATATTATATTTATTATGTCTGTTGTTTAGATTTCTGTCCTCAGGTCTATTGCTATTTGACTATCTGCTGCTTATTTTGTTTTACAAATTGATTTAATAGTGATTTAAATTTTATATGTCTTTAGTTTACTGATTTTTCCACATGTATTTTTTGTATTTGTTTGTTTTTGTTTAACAAATTGTTTTTTTTTCCTTTTTTTTGCATGTTTTCTGTCAATCTTTTGTATTTTCTATTTTATTTTGAGTTAAAAATAGATTTTTATCTGCATTTTATTTAGTTTTACACATTGACTTTTATTCTGTTTTGTCTCATTTTTGTGTTAAGTTTATTTAATAGAGTTTCAAAAATAAATGTTATAGTTTTTAAAATATTCAGTGTTTGTTTTTTGATGTAAAAGATGATTCATGCTCAGTACTATTTTACAGTATTTAAATATACTGATGTCTTAATCCTGTTTTCTGTTGTTTTAAAAAAGTAATTTACTTTTATTGAACTTTGTTTTAGAAACAGATTTTTGTTGTTTTCTATCTGTTTAGTATTTTACGTGTATCTTTGAGTTTTTAATATTTTATTTTACAAAAGGTTTTTCTTATTTTCTTTTTTGTATTTTCAGCTTTTAAAAATTTCGAGTTGCAAACTGATTTTATAATTCTTGTTTTTAAAAAATATTTTGTTTTGTTTAAAATTAGATTTTTATAAGCATGTTATATCATTTTATTTAAAGTGTTTTATATATAGTTTTAGTATATTATAATAATGATGAGCAACAGTGTGCTATCTGTGACTTTTTATACATCATAATATATTTTGGTATTTTCCTTGATTTTTATCTTGTGATGTGTTCACTGGCAAAATGAACGTTCAAGACGAATATGATGGAAAAACCTGTTTTCATTTCTTGCTATTACATACTTTTTTATTTTCAGTATTTATTTTTATCATTATCTGTAATTTTATTTGAACTATTTTGCACACATTTTATTCTGCATGTAGCTTTAATTTCAGTTATTTCATATCTTCCACATACATACAACCTGTACAGTGTTATTTTATCTGATTCTTATGATCAAACACACGGTAAAGACAAATGAAGGAGAGCAGACGGTGAGTTTAAACATGTTTTATTCATTCTCTGCTGCTGTTAGAAAAGAGCACATTAATAACTGCACTGACTGGCTCACACCTGGACAGGTGAGTCACCAGGTGAGAGAGCAGCAGGCGTGTGCGTGAAGCTGGAAGACCGAAGCTCACCTGGTTTGTGTTGCAGGTCGGTAAAGACGAACATTCACAGTTAAGACAAACGTACATTCTGCTTACTGCTGCTGTGTTGTTATCGGACTAAAGTGCTGAATTGTCCCTCTCAGGCTGCCGTACACGTCGCTACATGTGATTGGTCAGAACAAACTGAATCCTACACATTTACTTGACAAAAAAATAAACTTCATCTTCGGTTTCTGACATTCATTCATTCATTAGAAGACATTTCAACTGATTGAATACTTCACTGACAGACTCACAGCATCAGGTGGTAAAACCTCTGATCACACAAACACTGATCAAGACGTTAAGTCACTTTCTGGATCCAGTCTGGAGGAGATGATCAGGTCAAAGATGAGGTCCAGGATCTATTTTGGGAAACTAAGCAGGTAAATGCTGCAAAAAGGACATTTTTTATAAAAGGCAGAAGAGCTGATTGTTCCTCAGGAGGATTAAACCTAAAGAGACACCGCTGATGATCCAGCTTTAAGCATCTGTAACGTGAACTTCTTCAGAAGCTGAAATCTGAGCTTCACTTTGCAAAGTTTCGATGTTTTCTGCAGCGGCTCAATCAGTCACATCCAGTCAAATCTGGTTTCAAACATCATTAACTTGATTTTCTGAGCTTTATTTTACTGCTTTTAAAGGTTTCCTGCAGCGGCTCGATCAGTTTGTTGGTTTAAAGTCATTTTTTACGCCTGCAAAAAGCTGGTTTGCTCATTAATAGAACATGAAATAAACCGAGACACCAGACTGTAGCTCAGGATGATTAAGCCTAAAGAGAAACCGGCGATGATCCAGTTCTAAACATCTTTAACTTGAACTTCTGACACTTTCAGCTCAGATTTTTCTATTTTTTTAATGTTTCACTCGTCAGGAGAATACGTGACCAGGAGCACGTTTACAGATAAATTCATTTCTGTGATACTAAAATGATATTTGTTTGCATTTCTAAATTGGACACAAAAGTCAAACTAAGTCAGACTTGAGGTTTCTTCTCTTCCTACCTGCTGCCTGATTCTCCTCCAAACTAATGTTATCCATCAGTTTCAGGAAATAACCGGAAACTAAACCGCCTTCAGTCCTCGTGCCGTAAAAACATCCGTTAGTTAGTTCACAGCATTTTCCTGCTCAGTTGTTGCTGAAACACGAGTTAACTCAGACTCATGTGGAAGCGGTTCGACTCGGGTCTGCTCATTCTTTCTCATCCACAAACAACAACATCATGTACAATAAAACATTTAGTGTTAAAACTGAAGCTCTATAAAAACCGTCTGACAACAGAAACGCTTTCAGGCTTTCAGCTGGTTTCCGACATGTTCCGTCCGACTGCTGATTGATTTTAATAAAATGATCAGAAACAGCTGCTCCGTTACCAAACGTCTGCATGAGAAGCTTCACGTGACAATTTCCAGCTTTACTAAAGTGGCAGCAGACAACTCTTCTGATGCACCATCTGATTAAACGCTGATTTACAACAACAACAGGTTTCATTCTGCCTCCGAACCAGGAAGAGAATCTACTGAGAGAATCGAGGTCTGATTTAATTCTATGGAAACTCAACCTGGTGAAGGGACACCAACGTCATCGTTGGAGATGTTTGAAGATAAAAGTGACAGAAGCTGCTTCAGGATCAGAGACGTTCAGTCCTCTGACCAGGAAGCTTTGAAGGGAATGTTATCTTTAAACATAAATGGGCTCATTAATCAGCTAGAAATGGGAGAGAATGATCAGGTTTTCTTCTTTCTGATGGCCCCTGAACGCACCACATGTGAGGCACAGTTTCATCAGGAAAACTAACCAAATCTAAACATCACAATCTATTTATTCTACCTGTCTCATGATGGTTTATGCTTTGAGAAAATTACTCAAAATTTATCTAAAACTACTTCAAACTTGACCAAAATAACCAACAAATGTCCCAAAAGACCAAAAAATCAGCAAAATTACATAAAACTCGACCAAAATGACTCAAAATGTGTCAAAAATGACTAAAAACATGTAAATAATGACTTGAAACGTGTCTAAAAACACTCGAAATTCATTCAAAGTGACTCAAAATTTGCCCAAAAAACAAATCCTCAAATGACTAAAACGTGTCCAGAGACGGGCCGTTGGATGCAGGTCGGTTCAGTTTGGACCTACGGTGAATTTTATGTCGAAAATTTGCATCTGTTGTTATTGTTCTCTCTGAGTTTAACCAACCAGCATCGAGAACCGTCCAGTCGCTCAGGAGGACAGAACCTGGAGGTCGTTGTTCCTTTCTGGAGGCTCTACAGGGTCGGTTCTGGAGGCAGAACACCAGTCAGGAGCCTTTAAATGATTCTCAGCAGCTTCTAGATGGTGAAGTTAAAGTGTTTAATCCTGAATCCAGCTGAACACATGACGGAGGGGGAGCTGAAGAGTTGTCTGACGCCACCTGATTGATACGATCGATTAGTGACAGAACAACTGATTGTTTATAAACTAAACAGAACCTCACAGCTGCTCTCCGTTCGTGTCGTCACAGTTTGACATCACGGCGACTCAGGTCACTGCTCACCGTCTCTGCTGCTCTGTTCCCTCCAGACGCTTTCAGGTCATCGGTTTGAGTCGCGGCTGCATCGACTCAAACTGATGAAACCTGATTATTCTTTTATTCTTTTCTAACACTTTCATTGCATCTCGGCCGTAATCGAGCCTCCGTGCAGGTTGAATAAAGGTTGAATAATGGTTGAATAAAGGTTGAATAAAGGTTTCAGATCTGTGCTCACATTAAATCAGAGTGAAACTACAACGTCTGGAAGGATTCAGCGGCTCTGACCTGAACAGTGATTGTGAAACATCTAGAACCGTCCGTGCTGCTTCTCCAGCGCCGCTCAGTAAAGCCAACAGCGGTGAGTTCAGTGACATGCAGCGTCTCTACGGGTCGTTGTCTGGCTCCAGCCTAAAGTGCCTAAACTCGGCGTCACCACTCAGAAGATGGAAGTACCGTCAGTCCCGGTGGACAGCGAACGCACCACGGGGGCCGATCCTCCGTCTCACAGGAAGTTGGTTTTGAGCGTGATGCTCGGCGAGGACTTGGCGGCGCCACGGTTAGCGCTGCTAGCTTTAGCGTTCAGGCTCTCCTGGTTCCCCTTGACAGCGGCTTCGAGGCGAGACTTGAGGTGAGGAGACGACGTGATGAGAGACCTGCGGGAGGAAGAACTCAGAACATCAGCACCAACAGCTCACAGGTCCGTTTAAAGACACACAGCAGCAGAAAACGTGACCCGGCAGGTTCGGTCGACATGTTCACTGATTTATTCTGAACAAGACCTTTCAGAATAAAAGCAGGTCGGACCAGAAGTTCCACCTGCGTTTACTAAATGTTTTTCATGAATCTCCTATGAGGAACCCTCTGCTGTGTGATGATGCAGATCTGCTGAGTCATTGTGAAGAACCGATCCATCTGGACAAGCTGAAGAACCTTCAGTCACACGTGAGCTCTGTGTAGCTTAAACAAACCTGACTGGTACATGAATCACCGGCACGTTAATCCGCCGGTTTGTTTCCAGGCCTGAGTCTGACTTTGTGGATCAGAACACGGATCATTATGAGGACAGTCACAGCTCACGTCAGTCCGGTGGTGGATCATCAAAAACGTCCAGAACACTGATGTGAGATGACAAAGATTCCAAACTGACTCACAAACTGTCCAAAATGACTTAAGATGTGTTTGAGATTACAAAGAATGTATCGTAAACGTCAAACTTTGTTTCAAGTGACTCAAATTTTATCCAGAAGTTCTGAGGAATTTACCAAAACTTAGAACCTGTCCAACATGAGAACATGTGTGTTAAAAGACCCAAAGTTGTCCAAAATGACTGGATATTTGTCCAAATTTACACAAAATGTGTCCCGAATTACCCAAAACTGATATGAAAATGACACAAACTGGTCCAAATGGACTGACAAATGATCCACCACGTATCTAAAGGAACAGAAACGTCATCTCAGTGACTCCAGCATCGACCAGAATGATGGAAACTCCTCTCTGAGTGTTTTCATGGCGCTGACAACTGAAGAGATTCTATAAACAGAACTTCAGGCCGAACACAGCAAACAGAACATGTTCCTGTGAGGTGGACGTTATCTAGAATACAAACTGTTTGTCTGCAGACGATTCAGCGAGAACAAAGATTTAAGACAAACCAACGGCGCCTCAGCTCGTCTGCCTGTTTCTGATGAAGTGACTCGTCCTCCTACCTGAACACGGCCGGGTGTTGGGGTCCCAGACGCATCAGGTCTTTGAGCGCCGCCTCGTGCAGCGACCGGGACGCTGAGGGGGCGGAGCCAAGGGCGTTTTCATCCAATAGGAAGGAGATGAGGAGAGGAAGCAGGACGGAGACCAGCTGAGGACCTGCAGCACCAAACAGTCACAGCTTCAGCTTTACAGGCGCTCAGGGCACCAGCTGTTGGTTCATTCTGGACATTGTTTTGGTAATTTTGTATCATGTACAAATTGTACTGTGTAGTACTGTGTGGTACTGTGT